ACACACACATCTGTAATCCTACTACCTCTGCAGCCACTTTGTGTGCCTATCAGTTTTTTAATACATGGTTTGTTACATAATTGCAATGATTATATGTTCTCATATATGGCCTATAGTTTGTTGGTTCTGGTTCTTTACAGTTTTGATGATTGTTCTTTATACTGTGCTTCTCCAGTTTTAATCAGAACATTTTTTACATATGATTAACATCATTCTAGGATTTCAAATAATTCATCAGAGTCACTGTAGCCTTCTTTATACCTCAATTCTGGTGACTTTATCCTAGCAGGAAGCCCTTAAACCTAAACACATATTTGCTTGGACTTTTAATTTTCCTTTCATGTGTGTGTTTCCTTTCCCCTGTTAGAGAAACGAAGTGAAGATCTCTCTTCGGCTTTATGCTGCTGAGAGTAAAAGTCCTCCTTTGTTTCCAAAAAGAAAGTTAACTTTCTAATTTCTCTTTTTAGAGGAAGAGTAAAACAGCCCCTTCTTTTCTTTCTTATACAGAGCCACATGTAACCTAATTTTGATATATTCTTGCTTAGCTTTTTTTTAGTTTAGTTTTTTTTTTTACATTTGTTTATTTTTTTTTTATTTTTTATTTTTTTTAATTTTTTTTTCAACGTTTATTTATTTTTGGGACAGAGAGAGACAGAGCATGAACGGGCAAGGGGCAGAGAGAGAGGGAGACACAGAATCGGAAACAGGCTCCAGGCTCTGAGCCATCAGCCCAGAGCCCGACGCGGGGCTCGAACTCACGGACCGTGAGATCGTGACCTGGTTGAAGTCGGACGCTTAACCGACTGCGCCACCCAGGTGCCCCACATTTGTTTATTTTTGAGAGAGTGAGACAGTGCACGACTGGGGGAGGGGTAGAGAGAGAAGGAGACCGAATCCGAAGCAGGTTCCAGGCTCTGTGCTGTCATCACGGAGTCCGACGCAGGGCTCGAACCTGTGAACTGAGAGATCATGACCTGAGCTGAAGTCGGACGTTCAATTGACTGAGCCACCCAGGCGCCCCAAGCTTTTTGTTTAATGTTTATTTTTCTGAGAGACAGATAGTGCAGAAGTAGGGGAGGGGCAGAGGGAGAGGGAGACACAGAATCCGAAACAGGCTCCAGGCTCTGAGCTGTCTGCACAGAGCCTGATGGTGGGGCTTGAACTCATGAACGGTGAGATCATGACCTGAGCCAAAGTCGGATGCTTAACTGACTGAGCCACCCAGGCACCCCAATTTCTGCTCAGCTTTTAAAAACATCTTAAATTGGCTCATTTCTGACAAGTATACATGTTAGCACATTAAACTTTTTTTTCTTACAGATTTAACATGATACTTTGTGAATACCAGAACTTCATTGCCTTCAGAGCCTTTTTTTTTTTTTACATTGACTGATCTTCGTAGACCATTATAATAGAGTTGTTATTCTGATAATTTAAATGGTATCCTTAGCAAGAATCTTTATTCTTGCCATCATAGGGAGAGAAGAATCTGTTGTAGAGATATCCTATACTGTTCTAGGGGTATTGCAAACATCGTACACTCAACAATTTTCTTTATTACTGTCATATTTCTGAGCTGTTGGAGAATAATTCTAAATGAAGTGAGTTAACAGTGAGATGTAAGACTATGTTCTAGTCAAGGTATTAGAAGACTAAGTTATTGACTAGCTGTTGTGGTAGGTAAAACATGAGACTGAATTAGGACAGGGAGCTACCCCTCAGACTAAAGTAGAGAGGAAGTGATGGTGCCATGTGAAGTGGAAGAGACATTTAAGTAACTGTCATTCTCTCAATTCCCACAAAGGCTTTTAGACTTAGGTACGATATTTCCTTTTCTAACTCAATGGAATTGAACCCAAGAACAATTAAGTTTCTTGCCAAAAGTTATGTGTCAATTATAGGTAGAATTGGGAATTTAACTCAAAATTATTTCACTTCAAATCCTTTTTCCTCCCTACATTGTACTACTGTATTGATCTTATGGTTGCAGAAATTTAAAATTGCAGAATCATTTGTTCAGCCAACATGAATAGATTTTACTTGTTTGCCTAAAACTGAGATTCAGAGCAAAGTTATGCACTAAAAAATTAACCCTTTTGTGTTAGCACTCGAAGGCCACAGGAAAACAGAAATCAAAATAATTGATTTAACTATATTCAGAGGAGATTATAAGTCAGCAAAATTTCTTATCTAATAGGAATTCAAAAGATAGTTTTTAATTGTAAATTGATAAAGAGCAGTATTTTTTTTTTTTTATTGAAATAACCACCAGAAACAATTAAAAGCATTGGGCATTGAGACTAGGGGGTAGGGAAGAGCTGAGCCTGAGAAACTGCTCTTGTTAGTTATAACCCTGCCTGTACAGTTTTAAGTTTTACGTATGTACTTGTGTTACTGGAAAAAAATTTTTTTTAAGATTTCATAAAACTCTGAGGCAAAGATTACTGAGATACACTTCCTTGCACAAGATGGTTAGGACACAGTGGTAGTACAAAATTAATTATCATTTACCTCTGGGCATATAAAAGATACTACTAATCAGTGTGTACTGACTTAAAGATGATGTTCAGTACTAATCACATCTCCTACCTCTTTTATAACGAGTGTATCTCTGACCTGTTAAAGTGGGTGGGCATAAGGATGGTTTTATTGCGTAAGGACCCAGGATAAGCCACTACTGTACTATATTATTAGTGATAAACTTCTTTAACTAGAAGATACTAGCTGTTTGATGTCAAGAAGTATCTCTTGACATAGGGCTCTGTTGTTGTAAATAAAAAATTCTTTTTTCTTTTTGGGGGAGGTGGAAGATGAAACTAGATGTTTTCTTTGAGTCTTGATTGTGCCGTTCCAGCTCTAACCTCTGAGTAAGCTCCATGATAACATCTAGGATCTGTTTTTTGCTCCATCAGATCATTGTATTTTTGGAGGACTCAGAATGATCAAATTTAACACATGGATTTAAATAAATAATCTTAAATAGTTATGACTGATTTCAATTAGCATACCCAGGAAAAAGTATAAACCTTTGTAGAATAAAGTATAAAAACTTAGAATTTAATGACACTAAACATATGGAAGAATATTCTTAAAAGTTTGAAAATCATGGTCCCCGAGTGGCACATTGGGTTAAGCGTCTGACTCTTGATTTCCGCTCAGGTCATTATCTCAACAGTACATGGGATTGAGCCCCATACCCAGCTCCCTGCTGACAGTGCAGCACCTGCTTGGGATTAATATTCTCTCCTCTTCTCTCCCCCCCCACTTTCCCCTGCTTTTGTGTGCTTACTCTCTCTCAAAATACATATTTTTAAACAAAAGTCTTAAAATCTGACAAATCAGTTTTATCTTCAGAAATTTCTGAGGATGATTATTTAGATTTCTTAGTGATGATTGGAGAATCTAAGATACAGTTGAGTTGTGTTTTAGAGCCGCTATATAGGAAACCTAAGGGAGTAGGATTTGTATGTTTAAGTGTGTGGTTAGTGAAATCTGAAACTTTCAAATTGTGTAGTATCAAGTTGTCTTACGTCTTAATGTCTCTTTAAAAAATTATTATTAATAGCTGTGTACGATCGAATGCGAGCAGATCAGAAGAAATTTGGTAAAGCATCGTGGGCAGCAGCTGCAGAACGAATGGAAAAGCTCCAGTATGCTGTTTCTAAGGAGACTTTGCAGATGATGAGAGCAAAAGAGATCTGTTTGGAACAGAGGAAACATGCACTAAAAGAAGAGGTAACAAAAACCATCAGAAAAATGTATAATATTTGAAGATAAGATTTGCTATTTCATTTTTGTATTTGTACAGGACTGGCATTTTCTGACTCTCTAGGCAGTTAATTTTGCAGTGTTTCCATGAGATGATACTCAAGATGGGGGCCTCTGATTTGAGTTGGTCACTAGTAAGAGACATATAAGGTATTCTCATAAGCGTCGCGATGTGACTGTAGGCAGCAGTACACTATTTAAAAAAGTTGACATTAGAATTTCATTGTTGTCTTTTAAATGTTTTGTACTGTAAGGTTCAAAGGTCTGACAGTTATTTTTTAAAATCTTTTAAAAAGGTTTGTTTGTTTAGAGAGACAGAGACCTTGCAACTGGGGTAGGAGAGAGATGGAGACGATCCCAAGCAGGCTTGGTGCTGCCAACACACAGCCTGACATGGGGGGTTGAACTCGTGAAACCGTGAGATTGTGACCTGAGGTAAAACCAAGAGTCGGATGCTTAACCGCCACCAGACACCCCTTAAAGCTCTGACAATTATTTAAAAAGTTGCACTGCCCAGAGCAATAAAGAAAAATCCTAATTCAGAACCATTACCTTTTGGAGTTTCCCATTTTATTACTGAACACAAAACAGGTTCAACAGAGGTCCATTTTCTTGACTGTACTTAATTTAAGACCTCGTCATGAACCCTCCCCCCCCCCCAAAAAAGACTAGTTTTACAAATCCTTGAAAAGGTTGCTGATAGACATATTTAAAATTTATCTAAATGATCTTTTAAAATTTACTTTTTCATCATCGTCCTGTTCATCAGTGGTTTTAGTATCCTCATACTGTCCAGTGCAATGTGGAATAACCCCCCCCCGTCTTGCTTGACAATATTGAAACCATTAATTATACTATTTTTTATTACCTCTGAGGCCATT